GAAGCCAGGTGTAAGGTTCCCAACAGAGGGTCCCAGCAGTTCACAGCTTCAATCAAAGATGGGGGCTTTTTACACAGAGTAGACTGAAGAGACCTTCACTATGAATTCCTGCTTCCATTCAGAGGCATGTGATAGAACAGAAAAAGATCAGCTATGGCACCCAACACCTGGATTCAAATCCATCTTGGTCACTTTCCAAGTGTCCAATCAAGTCACTTAACCTCTCTAAAGCTGTGAATGACACCTATGAATGGCATTTTCCTGTAAAGGGTAATAATAATATTGTCTTTCAATGCTATCATAAAGGATTAAACACCATAACACATTGATCAGTTAAGACAAACTATGAAGTTCAGCATCTTTTAGTTCAAAGATACCTGGTGTTAGCTGTGTGGTCTAGGGACACTCACTTCACCTCTCTGTGCCTTGGTTACCTCAGCTGTAAAATGAGCAGAATTATAAACTGTTCTGGGGATGAGTTGAGTTGATATATATGAGGTGCTCAAAGCAGTACATAGATATTAAGTCTGGTACCTAGTAAGCATTCGTGTGTTTTAATTATTATAATTTGGTATTTGTTGTAGTGATAAAATCAGGGAGGCAGAAAACCTGGATTTTCAGCCCCAGCCATGCACTTGGTCCAAATCACCAAGTGAGAAAAAGGAGCAGGTATTGAGCAGCAGTCACTTTACTTCCCTGCCATCACTCTCCTTCTGTGTAAATTGAGGGAACTGACAAGACCATCTGTCCAGCTCAGACATTTCAAGACCACCTAAACTCCACTGTAAGCTGTAGGAACTCAAGGAGTCTCGGTGGCTTGTAGCTAGTTTTGAGCTTCTGATCGCTCGCAGATCTGTCAAGACTCCCTCATTGATTCACATCAAGATCACCGCCTGTCTCAGTGTTTCTGCAGAGCCGCTGATGTGTTTACTCTCCACCAAGACATGTTCCTCTGCCAGCCATGCCAGAGCTGCTACAAGCCAGCTTCCTGGCAGGGAGAGAGGGAAAGATAGTGTTTTTATTTTTCTGCCTCGCTATGTCTCCCTTCCTTTGGGATTCTTTCTGAGAAAGGTCAAAACAGAATTCTGCAGCCGCCTTGATGAGAAATGCCAGCTGACTGAAGAAGCTGGGCCCGTGTAAGGGCGGTGCCTGCCCCTGGGAGGCCCCCACTGGAGTCCTGTCAAGCCTGACTCATCCCCCAGCTCCATGGTCACTCCCTTTCTGCCCCAGGGAGAGAGCATGTTATAAATACCTCGACTGCTGTGGTTGGCAGATGGAGGGGAGGACAGTAACTGAAGTGTGATGGGATATTAAGAAAGAACAAAGAAGCAGGGTAAGAAGTTTTGCTTAAGTTTGACAAATCAGAGTAGTCCGTCCATCCGCTCTTGTTTTCTTCATATTCTGCTGTGGCTAGGGAGGCTGGAAGTTACACCCACTCTCCTAGAAAGGAGGGAACTTCCACCCTATTTCCCAATGCAGTGGAGTGTGAAAAAGGCTGCCTCTGCCTCTTTTTATATATTTTTAATTACAGTTTACATTCAGCATTATTCTGTTTGTTTCAGGTATACAGTATAGTACTTAGACAATCATGTACTTTATAGAGTGGTTTTCCCTCCTATTTCGAGCACCCACCTGTCCCTGTACAGAGTTATTATGGTATTATTGACCGTGTTCCCTCTACTGTAATTCACATCCCTGTGACTATTTTGTAATTACCAGTCTGCACTTGTCAATCCACTTTCTTCCTTCTATTTACTTCTGCCTGCACCACCTTCTTATTTGCTCCTCCCCAAAGGTTGAAGAGGGAGGACGTGAGAGTCTGACGCAGGCGGTCTGTGACTGTATTTACTACCAGGCAGAGCTGTGAGCCTTGAAGGAGGGTCCCAGGAACCAGCCTGCTTTTCTTTTCTATGTCCAAGCCCAGAAAGCCTTCTTCTGTTTCTTGTGCCAGATAACAAATATGTGTCAGGCTTAGTAAGGAGGGACGGACAAACAGAGAAAAAGCACTTGGTTGGAAGGAACTGTGGGTCAACAGTGTTTGACTATGTGAGGTTCACAGTGCACATCCTGAGCAGTTTCTCCAAGTGGCTGGGTCATTGATGGCTTCCACTGTCCATTAGAATAAGTAAGGTAGAACTTCATCTTACCTTGAATGAAAAGGGGTTCTTATCACTTCCACCAAAGCTACCTTGCACTGTTGGGCGTTTCAGCCAGGAGGAGCTAAGCCTTTCATTGACTTTTTGCAACCTGTACAACTATAACTCGTCTGAGAAACAAGCTCGGTGAACATCCCACCCACTCCTCTGTAGCATTCTCTTTTTGACTTTCTCTACTACATTTTATGCATCTAGTCCTGCAGTTTCTATTTGAACATTTCCAGCAATAAAACAATCTTTCACGGGTTATTTTGTTTTTAGACTGGTATAACTATTGGCAATTGCTTTCTTTGTGTCTTCCTTAAAAATTCCTCATGAAATTTTTTCCCCTTTTGGAGTCAAAAATCCAAACCCCCTTTTCTATGACAGTGTTTTAAGTACCAACGAGTTCTTACACTAGGTTATGCTGTAGTGATCCCGGGGGCTGGGAACAAGGGCAGCTTTGTACTTGTACACCCACGTGTCCTTCATGGATCATCTGGAGTCCACTGCAGGGCATTGCCCTCAGGAGGGACTCAGGTTGACAGAACAGCTACGACTACTAGTTTGCTTTCAGCAGCTACCAACTGAGTGAGCATACAATGGCCAAAGAGTTAGTGTCGACCAAGTAATGATTTTAACTGAATTTTAACTTTTATTCTTCAACTTCTGGGGCTCAAACTTTCTTTCCAAATCTAATAAGATATCTGGAACTCCAATTCCAGGTCACTGCAGAAGTTGACCTTCCTCCCCAGCATGTCTCTGAAGTTCTACTCTTAGGACTCATCTGTCAAGCTCCTTCTCCACAGTCCTGCTCCCCACCCAATTTTCAACCACAGTGTGGGCCATCTCGTGCTGCTCTCTGGTGTCTTTGTCCCCAAACATGGATACAGCCCTTCTCCTTTATTCTCCAAGTCACCACCAGCATAATGCTGTTACTGATAGCAGATTCCTTGGAGTGTCAGGGTAATGGTAGAGAAGTGAAGAGGGGCGTGGAGGGATATGTAAATCACTTGACATTGAAAGTTTTACATCACAGTTTCCAAAGTTCCCTACCTGTCTCTCACCTCCTCCCAGTCCAATGTGAGGCCCATCTCCAGCCTCCAGTGAATCCTGCCCTTGTTTCTTCTCAACTCACATCCCTGAGCCCACCCCCAACCCACTCCTTACAAAAGGAAAGCTCAACTTCGCCATTTCTTTATTTAGCAGAGCAATTTAGCTCCCTTTGTCTTAACCTCTTCCATTCTGAGTTATTCTAATCCATTCTCTTTCATAACAAAGGGCTTATTCATAAACTTTGTAAGTAAAATAATCTACCAAAGCCTCCACAGTGGAAGAGAGAACAAAAGCTGAGAAATTAGTTAGTTTTTCTTTAAGATGCCTAAAAATTTCTTAGCAAATGCTTTTGATTCCAACCAACCTCATTTAGAAAAACTTTAAAATACAGTAAGCATAAATTATAAAGGGTGTGTTTGGGGATATTTAGGGAGTAAGGTCATGTAAGGCCCTGGAAAGCCCATTACCTATATACGTTTTGATATGAGCAGGGCATGAGCGTGAGCAGTGGACTCTGGGTGGTAGGGTAGCAGGAGGGCGGCATGGAAACCAGGAGGAGGCAGTGATGCAGGTGGGCAGGGGCAGAAGGAAGGGAGAGAGGTGCTAAAATCAAGCCTGATTTAGAAAACAGAATGCCCCGGAGTTGGTGTGGGAGAGTGAGGGCAGAGAGGAATATCGGGAATGATGATACCTAGTTTTCTTTTTGTAGCAACGGGGTGAGTGTTGGTACAATTTGCTGTGATAGAAAATAAATGAGCAGGAATAAATTAAGGGGGGGAATTACGTTTCATTTTAGACATATTTTATTTTAGGCTTGTGGGGTATCCCATAGGATCAAAGAAAAGATTCAAAACATGGGTTTTCCGGTGGGATGTGCATTCTGAGGTAGGACTGTGCAGTCTCTTGGGACCCCAACATTCCAGGGCAAACATCTGAATAAAAGGTCCCCTTTGCTGCCTTGATCTCATTTGAGGGTTGGGACTTCCTTGATGCAAATCACTGGTGTAAGATGTAAAAGCTCTGTCTAACATACTTGAGACCCTAGTCCAGCCTCAGCCCTGGAAAAACATGGAAACTTCCTCTTCACCTAAGCATATATATCCAAACATATGGCTGGCAGCTATTTCATCTGAGTCACTCAGCAAGGTGTTGCCTGGGAGCCCAGAAACATCTTATACGTGATGGATGCCTGATATTTACCAGTGTGACTTGTCACCATTTTCCACCCCTTTCAAATGTGGGTACAGTTAAAGATTTCACAGTTTCACCTTCTTACTCATTTTTCTTAACATCACTCTTTTGCCTTCAGGAAAAAAATATAGGAAAGAAAATGTGATTAATATGCTCTCATTCCTAGCACTAAACTTAAGCTGTTACTGTAGAAACTCCGGCATGGACTCAGGCATCTGATTCCAGCTGTGCCCCAGGGAGGCCATCTGCTGTGGGGAAAGAACACTGGAGTGGGGGTCAGGACACCTGCCTTCAAACTCCAGGTTTTCATTCACTAGGTGGTCCCTTTGGCAAGTCACTTATCTCCCTTTTGGTCTTACTGGTCTTATCCGAAAAATACACAGATTATTGGCCACTGCTATACCACAGGCTGCTTGGAGATGGTGGCACAAAGGCTACCTCAAGTCCACGGCAACTAAAGGAATGTTGCACAGCACATGCCACAGTCCTAGACTGCTGGGCTTTTGTTCCCGACCAGGCATGTTCTCATCATGTTTGCACTGCCTTCAGCTACTGTGGGTGCATTCTTAATTTAAACAAACAAACAAACCAAAAAAAAGAAACCCTTTTCTCTTACAGTGCATAGTGTGGGACTGGGACTCCAACGGCAAACATGACTTCATCGGAGAATTCACCTCGACATTCAAGGAGATGAGGGGAGCGATGGAAGGAAAGCAGGTATGCGGTCAACCACTTGTGATATTTTTCCAGACACTTCTCTCATGATGCACCCAGGTACACATAAGCAGCTGCAGGTGAGATGTCAATACATGATTAAAAGGGATGAGAGGAGAGCATGGTGGGATTTGAGTACCTGGCTTCAGATACTACCCCAACCCAAAGCAGCTGGGGTAACCTTGGACAAGACACCACCCCAATGTGGTACAGCTTCTCCATCAGGTAAATGAAGAGGTTAGATGAGAGTAGTTCTAATTTCCTTTAGCTGTGTAGCCCTAGACAAGTGATTTAATCTCTCTGTGCCTTGGCTTTCTCACCTAAAAAAATGTGGCAATTGTACCACTTTCATAAAATTTTGTGAAGATTAGTACGTTTACCAGAGTACCTTGTACCAAGCTAGAACTTTCAAAATATCTGCTGTTAGTAGGAATATTCTTTCTAGCTCTACATTTCCATGGCTTGGTAACATAGGCCACACATTTAATGCTTTGAAGAGATTATTTGATCCCTCCAAAGATTTTGTGGGCACCAGATCTTCATCAAGTTCCACCTTTTTATTCTTTGGGTGCCGAGACATGTCCCCACACTGTCAGGTGCCACAGAGGCACACAGGGGTTTCCTAGTACCACGCAAGAACCTAAACCTCTGTGCTCTCGCTTTTATACACACATAGATATCAATTTATCAGTCAGTTGCTGTCATCTAGATGTACATGTAACTTCTGCTCTTACCTGCCCTTTGATGTTCACCTGCCCAACTTCCAGCTGCAGAACCTAAATCTCGTTGCCTGAGGGCTTTCTCTGGCTGCTGCAACCTACTCTGCCCACTCCCAAGTGGGTGGCAGTGTTGGGGGAGGGTAACACCAGCCAGAGAGCAGCCCTCAACAAGTAATTAACAGGAGTTGAAGTATAAAAGGGGCAAACCTCTGAGCTGTGTACTGTGCGGTTTCCCAGCAGTACCTGCTTGCCCACAGAGGCAGCTGATTTTTTGCCTGCCTCCCTCTGTTAATTTCCCACTTTATTGGTACTTCCTGATATTATCTCCCAGGTGAGCTACATGCAGTAAATTCTTGCTTGGTTTCTGGGGAAACTCAAACCAAAATACCTGACATTCTTCCTCTGCAGCCAGTCTTCCACATGGAATAGAAAGGAATGGCAGCAATGGCTTTAACAGAGGTCTTTTCCCTTAGAGATAAGACCCTGCCCCTGATCTGGTCAGAAGTGTAGAGGAGATATGCCAAGTCATTGTTCAAGTCTCTTATTTTAGATGTGAGATCAAGATATAACCAGGCTGGATGGAAATAAACTGAATTGTGTAGAATCAGAAGCTTCACCTGAATCAGACCTTCTGTTGAATACACACCTTTGGCCTGGAAACTCAAAAGCAGCTGTCTGAACAATTGCAACAAAACCTGCTTTACCTGCTCTGCTGTGTACTGGGTGCTACAAGACACTGGCTGACACACAGAGACCTTCATCTGCAAGCAGGCACGCACAGTTTGGGGCCACAATGAAAACCAGCATTGAGTTGTCAGTCAAGTCACTTCCAGGGTAAAAAGGAATATAGCCAGAGAAATCTCTCCACTGAATGTACTGGATAAGGCTCTGTGGAGCTAATAAATCAATGACAGCTTTTGACATCCCCTGCTAGAGCTCTAAAGAGGTTTACACAATGTTGCCTCATTCTTGTATACAAATAAGAATATTCAAATTAATACATACGAGAACTGTTTCATCTTGAGGCTCCTTAGAGGGTGTTAAAAGTAAAGTGATAACATATGTCACAATTGAAGAACACCAAAACCTGATGCCTTCAAAGTAACAGAAATAAATCTTAAAGTCTCACTGAGGAAATGGACCATATGCTGCTGTATTTTTCTGTATCCCTGAGATGCCAAAAAGATTTTAGTCCAACCTCCCAGCCCCTGTTTTGACACATTTGCACTGTGGAAACTGTTTCCTTATTTGGTTTTACCAACATTGATAGTTGTTGAGGAGCACCTACTAAGTGCCAGGCATAACGATGCCACCTCTAGTTGTGCCATGACTGTGCATCAGAGGAAACGGTAAGCACAAATCAAATAAACAAAACAATAAACATGCAGTTAGAACTTGTGACAAATGATATAAAAACTGAACCAGTTGTTATAAAGCTGTGATATAGAAGAGATAATCTGAAAAAGTGACATTTAAGTTCAGGGTCTTTAAACATGAAAAGAAGTCACCCATGTAACAAGCAAGGGAAAAGTATTTCAGACCGAGGGAACAGCATGCAAAGTATTGAGTTAAGAAAGAGGTTGGAGCTCTTCAGGATCTGGAAAGAGCCCATTGTATCTGGAGCAGAAGGGCAAGGGAGTCGGGCACAAGATGTAAAAGCCAGAGGCAGAGGCCAGGAAAAGGAGATTCTGATAGTTCAGGAAAAAGGGGGAGTTGGGGCTTTCTTTTCTAATCATAATGAGGGTACTCTAAAACTGTGCTGATACAGTGGCCACTATCCACATGTGACTATTTAAATTTTAATTTTAACTACTTAAAATTTTAATTCCTCAGTCACACTAGCCACATTTCACATACTCAATAGCCTCATGTGGCTAGTAGCTTCAGTATTGGCTGCTGCAGGTATGGACTACTTCCACCGTTGCAGAAAGTTCTACTGGACAGTGCTGCAAAGGAGTGTAGGCAAGAGAATGACAAGATTGGGCTTAATTCTTTGAAGATTACTTTGGCTACTTTGTAGGTAATGAATTACAGAGAGAGGGCAGAAAGATCTGTTTAGAAGCTAAAACTATAGGCAAGACAAGATGTGACAATGACTTGCACTAAAAACAAAAGGTGATAATCAAGGTGGAGGGACGTGGAGAGATGTAAGAACAATTTTGGAGATAGCAGCTACAAGATTTGTTGGGGAGTTCTGTCTGAAGGGAAGGGGAGTAAGCAAAGAATGACTTGAGGATGGATGGGTACATGCTGGCACCTTTTCCCGAGTGAGGCAGTCTTATTTCAGGGAAGTCCAGTTTGGGATGAAGGTTCAGAATTGAGTCTGGGGGCGTGGCATTCAGAGAACTTACCTGGAGATGTGTTTTAGGAGCCCTAAACAATGAGGTAGTATTTAAAGTCAGGAGAATGGATGAATACACTTGTGGAGAAAAGATAGAAGAGCTAAGAGGGGAGGCCTAAATGCTGTGGCAGAGACAGAAAGACAGACATGTAGAGACAAAGAGACAGAAAGACATGTAGAGATAGAGAGACAAAGAGATATCTTTCAAGCTTTTTCCTGTGAGAGTTAAGGTCGTTCAGGTAGAGAGTAAATTCTTGATCAGCTCTGATTAATTCCTAGGTAGCCTTTGTGAACGTGCTTGGTTTGAGGTGGCCAAAAGGGAAATATAAAGGAATAAATGGGAGAGCTCCTCCAAGACACTCCTAGAGGTGAACGCGATGACTTATAGGCCAGGCTTTGGAGTGAGGCTGGTGTGGTCTGATCCCAGCTCCTCCAGTGACCACCTGTGTGGCTGAGCCTCTTCTCTGAGCCCCTTCTTTTGTCTAGAAAAGTGAGCCTTACAGGGAGTTAAGTGGGATGGTAGATAGAAAGTAAAAAGCCCACAGCTACATGACAGTTTCATGCCAAGACAAACACAGGCCATTTAGACTTGCTCATTCGGCACCACCTCCCTACCCACCCATCAGGCATAAAGTCCCCAAGTACCTGCCAGTTTTGATTTTGTCCCTGGGAGCTCTCGTCTGGCTGAGCCAACTCATCCTCCACTCTTGGCCCATCTTTGCCTGAGATGGAAATGAGTAAACTTTTTCCTGGGTGGTCATTATAATTCTTAGTAAAACTTGGAATCTAACTCATTCCAAGTTTGTTATGTCCTGCTTGATTGAAAAATTGAGGGTAATAGCAATTATTAAAAATGGCAAAAAAAATCAGCAGATCTAATTTTAGGATCTTTTCTTTCCAACTTCTAGGTAAATCCCTAAGATACTTTTGTGCACTATAACATTAGAGAGAAGCTTTGGAGGAAAGGCAGTTTCAGTGTTGATGGGTTCAGGGGTGGACTTAAGTTCCTTTGCCTGAAATACTAAATCTACTTTGAGACAGAATGGAATCCTTGATTACCAAGTGATGGCCCCATGAAGAATGAATTAGAGGAAAACCCAAGAGAGGAAAGAAAAACAATCATCATGATGGTGGAGAGTTAGGTCTTTTTCAAAATAGGGCTGGAAATCTCCTGATTTCACATTCAGTTTTGATTCTTTTCTCCTTCTTCCCTCCCACCCTTCCTCCCTTCCTGCCTTCCTACCTTCCTTCCATTCTTTTCTTTTTTTAAAATATTTTATTTATTTATTTTTAGAGACAGGGGAAGGGAAGGAGAAAGAGTGGGAGGGAAACATCAATGTGTGGTTGCCTCTCATGTGTCCCCCCATTGGGAACTGGCCTGCAACCCAGGCGTGTGCCCTGACTGGGAATCGAACCAGCGACATTTTGCTTCACAGGCCCGTGCTCAATCTACTGAGCTGCACCAGCCAGCATCTCTTTTTTCTTTTTAATGGAAGGAACCTTAGAGGCCTCTTAACCTGTACAGCATTCCTCTCTTCCAAACCTGTGTGTGGTTATGCAGCCCCTACTGCAACTTCCCCAGTGTTGAGAAACTACTGCATCAGTTATCTATTGCTGAGTAACAGTTTACACCAAAACTTCCTGATGTAAAACAAAAACATTAATATTTACTCATGATTCTCTGGGCTGACAATTTAGGCTGAGTTCAATTGGAATAGCTCTTCTCCGCTACATATGGTGCCAACTGAATTTACTTATGCATTTTTGCCTCAGCAGTTGGAACTTTTCCATGTGCTTTTATTCACCAAGAAACCATCCTAAGCTTTTTTCACATGGTGGTGAGAACTTCCCAGCAGCAAGCCCCGATATAAAGGTACTTTTCAATCCTCTGCTCCTATCACTTCTGCTGGTGTTCCATTGGTCAAAGAAGCCACCTGACTAATCTCAGCATCTCTGTGGGAGCAAACCACACAAATGCAAGGACACTGAGAAGAATGGATCTCTGTGGGCCAGTGCTCTATCAGTCCAACCTATTCATTCTGCCTCAGACAGAGATCACTTCATTTTCAGACAAATTTTCAGAGAGTGAAAATTTGTCTCCTGAGTAGAAACCCAAGGATTCAGCTCCCACAGCATGATGGGCAGAAGCGTTCATTGGATGTTTGACTTGCAGTTGACTTTATCTCATGAAGTACTCTGGAGGCTGGAGAGGTTGAGATCTGTTCCCCTAAAAAGCCCCTTAGCTCCCTCCTCAGTCTCCAGACATTCCTGCAGCTCAGATCCTATCCTTCAAAGATCTCTCTTTGGAGATCTAGTGTGTCAATCCATTATTTTAGTGCTCGGTAAACACATCATTATCCCCATGAATTTCTTGTAGCCGGTATTGAACGTTCCTCAGTTTTTCTACCTTTTAAGTCGATTCCCGGGCACTAACACTCAGCACTTGGGTTACTCAACTGAGTGTGTTCGGATCTCTCCTTACCTCTGATGCTTGACTTGACCCTATGAACAGTAAGCTTTTATAAGTGCCAGGCACTGTCCTAAATGTGTTGCATGGATTAATTATTCAATCCACACAATGATCCTATGAGATAGATACAATTATAAGCTACATTTACAATGGATATATCCAAGACATTGAACAATCGAGTACAGTTAACCCTTGAACAACACAGGTTTGAACTGCTTGAGTCCACTTATATGCAGATTTTTTCAGTAAGTAACTGTACTGTTTTCAGTCCATGGTTAGGAGTCTGTGGATGCAGAGGGCTGACTGTGTGCATTGACTTACATTATTTTGTATAGGAAACTTGAGCCATCCACAGATTTTATTATCGTGGGGGTCCTGGAACCAATTCCTTTTGTATACCAAGAGTAGTCAAGTTTTGGAAGAGTCAGAAGTTATACACGGATTTTCAAACAACCTTCACAGGTTTTAAGGGTCAACTGTAATTTGCCAAAGGTCACACAGTTGCAAAGTGAAAGAGCTGGGATTCAAACCAAATAGCCTGATATCAGTCTTACCCTCAAGCACTCCTCTTACATTCACTTTAGATGCAAGGGTTATCACCTGGAGACCATTGGTCAGCCCCCAGTTTCCTCTGCAGCAGCACCTGGGGGCTCAACCTCATCAAATGACTCCGCTTCTTCCTGGACAGGCATTCATGCTGTGAGTTTTCTTGTTGCAGGTGCAGTGGGAGTGCATCAACCCCAAGTACAAAGCCAAGAAGAAGAATTATAAGAACTCGGGCATCGTGATTTTGAATCAATGCAAGGTATGTGCCTAACCTGTCTTTCAGGAGTGCGAAACTAGGGCTGTCTTGAAGGAATAGTTCAGTGGGTAGAGGGAGAGAGTGTCAAGAAGATGTGATCTATTTAAAAGTAAAAATCAGAAAGTCAATGTATTAATGGACGTACAATGTGAAATGTATGCATGGGTGGTCTTGGCACTGTGGTGGCTCAATGCCACCATCCCCTCTACAAGGACAGTCCTGCCCCTAAAGAGAGGAGAGTCCTGATCACAAGTCAGTGTCTTCTCTGCCCTGGACAGCACCAGAGGGGGATACCCAAAGAGGGCAACCGACCTTTCCAAAGCACCTACTATGTGTCTGTCACGGTGTTCAGTGGTTTATGTGTGCCACTTCATTCCTGCTGGAAGGGAACCATGAAAATAAGACAATGGAAAAAGTTCGAAGGGCCTAGAATTTTTTCCCGGAGGGGCTCTAACTTCCCCAAAAAGTCCATATGCTAACAAGGAAACCCATTAAATCACATCTGAGAAAAATTCTGCCGCTGGTTAGTAAGTTATCTTACTTACTAAGTAAGGGTAACTATATTACGTTCTATTTGCTTTTATCACAACCCTGAGATTTCCACTTTCAAATGAGATCAATCACAAGTGGTAAGGTTAAGAGCTGAGATTTTAATCTAGCTTTCTGACTTCACCATATAGGATTTAAGTTCCATCCACTTTCTCACTAAATATGTCAGGTTTCTTCATACAGATTGGCCTCCCAGAGCTGCAGGAGCTGCAGGAGCACATCCTTACCTGACAAGAGAGTAGAGGAAAAGACTGACTGGTCTGGTGTTGGTCCCAGGCCCACTCTTGAACCAGTCCCTGGGACCAGGGAATAATGTATTGTGACTGGCCTTCTGGGGTCATTGTTTTAATCATGTCTATTTATTTATTTTTATTTTTATAATGCTTTGACACCTGAGGGCCTTGTAGGGACTGCCTCTCCCAGAGGTAGCTAATTCCTATAGATAGCAATCCATTTGCCTGCAAGCCTGCCTTCAATATGCAGGCCAATCAATCCAGAGCCTACACTCCCAACTACCTCCTTTACTTTTACACACCAAGGCAATGTTCTGCCTGCACTATATCACCCCAGGGCCAGGTTTCAGACAATTAGAGGCCACCCCTATAGCTAGAGCCTGCCAAAATTATCCAAACCTCAACCTGCTCAGTTGCTTGCCTCACCTCACTCATTTTTTCCCATAAAACCCACAATAAAGACATTTACTCACACTTTCCCCTCATTCCTGCCTCTTGACTAGAGCTAGTACTTCTCCATCTGCCCCACCCTACCTGGCATGACAGACAGGCCTCCTCACCTTTGGGGAACTGAGTGATAAACTCTTCTTTCAAAGGCAGTCGTCTCTGGTCAGCTTACCTCCGTACACCAGTCACATCCCAGGTACATTCAAAATGTCATGTGGTCATCCCTGCACCCAGAGGAGCAGGAGAAAAGAAGATCTAGATGAATGAATTCACTTGTTTCCTTTAGGTGTCATAGGATATGTGCATGTATCTGTTTTGATTCTGTGCGAGTTGATCTGACAGTTCAGCACTCAAAGGCCATTGCTATTGAACTCATTTTCTTAACATACGTACAATAGTAGGGTATCCCAACTATCAGGCAAAGCACTGCCATAGGAAGCCAAGAGCAAGCACTGTTCAGAGGGCCAAGTGAACATCAGCTCTAGAAAAGTCTGTTAGTAGGTGGGTGCCATCTGGAGGTAGAACCTAGAGACACCAACATGGGGTTTTGTGGGTGAGTCTCTGAGAAGCTGCCCTGAGCATTAGATGGAGTCTGAGAAGTGTTGAAAACCACAGTTACTATTTGTCCAAGTAAAAGGACCTATAACCTTCACAACTATAGGTACTGTGTCTTTTTTTCTCATCACTATGTCTCTAATATCTAGTACCTGGTAGGGTGGGAGTGGGGTGGAAGGCTCAATAAACCTTGTTGAATAAATGAATAGATGAATGTCACCAAGAGTCATGCAGCAGAATCACAAAGAAGCCGATGTTAAAATCGGAAATAGATAAGGCACATCAGAACTCAAATGGTAGTGGTGGGCAGAAAGCAAGGACCATGCATACTTCCAGCATAGAGGTCACAAGAATGGACTATACAGTTCAGACGGTCACCATTGGAGTCCCACCTCTTCCATCTACTAGGTAGGTAATCTTAGCCTCAGTGTCCTCATTGACAAAACGGGCACAATAATAATAGAGTAGTATACCTTGATAGGGTTGTTCCAAGAATTAAATGAGATAATGGATATGACGTGCCTGACATACTGTAAGTGCTCAATAAATGTTAGTCATTGCTGTTCATGGCAGGGGAGGAATCCAACTAACTGGAAGCCGTTGGAAGAGGGCTTCTCGGGTCACAGGGATCTTGACACTGCCAATCTAGAGTCCCTGTAGAAAAAGAATGTTACCAGGACTAGGACGTAGACACAGAGAGCAGGACTGACACCCAGTGTGAGACTTTATTGATTTCAAAACAGTGATGACCCTGAAAAATATAGTGTTAGTCTCACCCCAGAGACAGAAGCTGATGAAAACCATCCATAAACCAAAAGTGGGGTGGGGAGGAGAAAGGGATGGCTACCTGCAGTCTTCACAGGCTTGTCTGAATTCAGCATTGCTTTCTTTCTCTTTTTTAATGAAACCAAACAGCTGACCCATCTTTTTCCCACAGATCTCTCTCTGCTCTTTCCTCTAGTTTAGCAGCCTAACCCCAAAATTTAAGCCTTCTGTCTGTAAGGACACAGATGACACCATTACTAAGACAGTGTCCCCTCCTCCTCCTATGCAGATCCACAAGATGCATTCTTTCTTGGACTACATCATGGGCGGCTGCCAAATCCAGTTTACAGTAAGTTGTTTCCTCATTTGTTCTTATTCAAGGGGCAAGACTGGGGAATGATGCTGGGCTCGGGGCACAAGGAGGCAAAAGTCTATTAAAACACTAGTCAGCTTTGTGCAAGTCTCATTGCTGAAATATGGTAGGGTCACATGTTTTTAAATAAATTCATATTTTTGTTTTTCCCAGTGATTATGGTTTTCAACATCATGTCAGGAAATTCATGCCATTGAACCTCAGGTGGTTTGGGAAGCCATCCTAATGCTTCTCATTCACTCACTGACTGTATAAGGCATCAGGCAGTAGGCACAGTACCAGGTCTCATCACCTGGTGAGAATGATTGGAAGGAAGTGAACCAGGCTAGTAACACCTACTGAACCAGGGCAGGTGCCTTTGTTGTATTCACGTGGCCAGAATATAGGCACCAACGTCATGTCCAATGGTCAATGCTAGGACCAAGCCATACGAGTGGTTCATCAGGCAATGCAGAGGTAAATTCCAAAAGATTAGAAAACCAGTCTTTCAAAGTTTAGAAAGGGAGTAAATACCTAGGCTCAGTGGGTAGATCTACATGTCATCTGTAAGCCCACGGGATTCACATATTCCTTAACATGCTTCTGGGTGGGCGGGCTGGGTCTCTTTAAAGTTTCCAGGTAGGCCAAATTTGTGAGTCCATCTACTGTGGAAAAACTTGTTCTTAGACTTGGGCAGATGTGACCTCCAGAAAGCGAACCCCCACGTGGTAAGAGTAGATCTTCTAAAACCTATGGGAAAGCAGCATGGATATAAACAAGAAGATTACAATAGTGCAGTGTTTGTTCTTCTCATTACAGGAGTATACTCATGAAGCTCAGCCCTGTTCAACCCCCTAGACTGGCTCAATCGCATGAGGAAGTCAAGAAGAATGGGTTTAATTTTTAGTCCAGGTTTGAGCCCAAGAGAGTTGACAGAACCAACGAATGCCCATGACCTGAGATAGTGGTGCTCAAAGAACTAGAAGGGGAACTCCTGAGGGGCGGAGTTAAGGCGTCTTTTGTTAGGTCAGACTCTCCCTAGCTAGAGGCTTATCCTCTGCAGTAATCTCAGATGCATCTACCCATGTCCTGCCTAAAGTCGGGCATCATTCATTTACCCCTGATTAGTTACAGGGGTTAAGTATAGAATTTTGTCATTTCTTTGAGGTCTGATCTTCTTTGAAGACACACCCACCCAACCTTCCTATGTGCACACTGGCACATATAGAAGGTAGCAAACATGTTCGTGGTGGCACACACATCTGACTTTCACTGTCCTGTGGGTTCTTTGTCTCTCTGAGTGTATAAAAATGAAGTAGAGAAGCCAGCAATGTCATACAGGAGAGCTACTAGAAACAGTGTCTGTCCCAAGATCTTAGGCAAAGGAGTGATTTCAAGAAACTATTTATAGGTTTTCAAGGGAAAGCTCTATTGATTTGGGTTTCTTTTAGATTCTATAGATCCCATGCTCTTGAACAACATTTTATTCAACCTCCAGGGCCTTGCCTTGCCCTTGAATTGTGCTGCAAAGGATCAGCCCCTATAAAAAACAGAAGTTTAGTCTCACAGGGTTCCCAGGCCTACATCCTGACTTCCAAAGGTCTGTAAGCCTTCCCGATACAGAAGCATTGCCCTATTGGCTTTGATCTCCCCTTCTTTCTCACTTTTGCTGACCCTCCCCAATGAGAGGTACTACCTTAATGGGTCTCACCATCATCTCCCCAGTCTCAGCTTCTCAGCCTCTCCCGAATCAACTGATGGACCTATGGTGGGCCTGGAGTGAATCTGGAACAAGGAATGAAGAAAGGAGGAGAATGTACACATAAATGCTGATAAGGGGACAGGCCATCATCGGTGTCTGCCACCAAGCCCTTGACCTGGCAGGTTCAGGCTGGGCTTCAGAGGAAGGTTGCAAAGTGTTCTGTTTTAAGCTTTCTAGTAAAGAACACATCCCAGTCACTTCAATGTAATTTTCCTCCAAAATTAAGTCAGCTTTCTCATTAATTTATTACTGCTCAAGCAGTACATCTAATATAAAATATAAGCTGTAAAGCAAACTATTAATAAAAATTAGCACATCTTACTTAATATGGTCTATAGGGGTTTAGTATCTGTCCTGTAATTAGTTGAAACCATCTGGCAACATGAAAGGAAGGTGGCAGAGGGATAAGAAACGAGAAGAGGGCTTCCTGGCCCCGAGATAGGCAGAGAGGGAGGAGAAAAGATGTTTGTTGTAGTCAGAAACTCCCATGGGCACAAATTAATTAAGCCCAGAAGCTTTAGCCAAGATGAACTTCCTGTCTCCCTGGAGACAGACCTTCAAGAACCAGCAGTGCAATAAAGTTCTGGGTGTTTCCTCTACTCTTGACCCTCCCCCCTGCACCCCAGGAGGCCTTCCTCTTCGGCTGCACTAGCCAGCCTTTCTGGCTCACAAGGTTTAGTTGACTGTGACCAATGGGAAGAACCAGCCAGAGATCAAAGAATGAGAGGAGGGAGAAGTGGGGTGGCCCAGGGCCCCCACTGACCCCGTGCCCCCACAGACACTGCCAGGCTGTGGTTTGTCAGTGACCATGTTCCTCTGCAGAAGGTCACGGTACCTGTCAGGTGCCCTGTCCTGCAGGTAGTACTCTTATGAAGTTCTAGCAATGACTTTTCCCTACTCTTTCTAGTCAGTCCCTCTTAACCTTTTTGAATTGTCTTTCCATTAAACTCTCCCTGGCCACCCCTTTTGAGGGGGCCATTTGTTTCCTATCAAGACTGTCACCCAATGGGCATGATGAACAGGAGCAAGGAGAAAGCTTTTGCACCTTCCATGGATGCCTAGTGCTTCCGATTCAACCTTCACCTTTCCTTCAGGTGCCAGGCTAATGTATATTAGGTGCTCAAAAATATTTTTGTTGAATTATAAATGGATTGAACCCAGAATCTTCAGGAAGAGATAAAGTTTAGGGACAAGAGGAAATTTAATGAATAAATACACTAGGTTTTTGCTTTGTAAAGCACCCCTATGAACGTAAATGTTTATGCATCTATATATTCTAATGATACATGCTGAAACCTTGTTATGAATGAGCGGGGTATATTTAAGGGAGTGTTGTGGAAGTGGTTGGAATTTTGAGATAATTTGCTGAATAAAGAAATGTTCAGAAGCCTCTTGGGCAGGACATTGAAGCTATCAGACCCATGCTAGGGAAATAAATCTGGGAGTGTCGGTGAAAGGCACCAAGAGTGGCGAAGGGACTGTGGAAGATGAAGCAAGAAGATTAAAGCCCACTGCGACAGTCCTGAGGACAGGCAGTGAGGGGCAGTAGAGGGGCAGCAGGCAGAAGAGGCACTGTGGAAAGAGAGGCAGCAAGCCTTGGCTCGCAATACTAAGGGAAAAGCAGCAGAGAATGATGAGTCCAGGAGGATTCCAGTCTTTTGTGCCTGACCGACAAAGCATGGCCGTCCTTCTCGTGGAAATATGGAACTCCAGGGGGGCTGCTGGACAGGTGATGAGTCTGTGGACATGTTGGAAGTACTTTCAGATGCCCCAGTGCAGCTGGCACTTTATAAATATGGGCCCAGGTTTCAGGAGAGAGATGCAAGCAGTACATATATGGGTCTAAATAAAGTGGTCAAAGGGAAGACTCCAGAAAGCAAAGGAGCCTGGAGACAGGAAATGATAGAAGACCTGCATTTGGTAGCCAGGGAGAGAGGGGCCAGCAGTAAGAGATGCCAGAGGCAACAGCCTAGAGCTGACTCCAATGATTAGGCAAAAGAGGTTACAAAACTGAGGATAATAATCCCAGAACCTAAAGAGAAGTCTAAGGGTGAAGAGTAAAAATCGATGACTGGGTTATGTGATGAGTAGGGACACACCTTTGAAAGAACCATTTTAGCAGAAGGAGACAGGGAAGACCCTGGAATGAGGGCATAAACAGGAGGTAAGGAAGTAAACACAGCAGGACGCTACTGTTCATTCAATAAGGCTGACAGTAAAGAAGGAGGGCAGGAGAGGGGAAGAAGGATGGCAACTGGAGGATTAAAAAGGGGAGGTTTTAGTCCAGAATTTGACCAGAGCAGAGGAGAAGGCCAAGGGGAGAGGAGAGATACGTGTTGCTCGAAAAGAGCCCTCGTCAATGATTCTTATTCTTTTTTGGTCACCTGGACCACTTAGGAATCTGATTTAAGATCTGTGTTGCCTCACCAGAAAATGCACATGCTCCATTTTGCACACTATTCTGAGGACAATCCTTGTTCCTCCTGTGAATCGTGAACTTAAGGGCAACTGTGTCCTTGCAGTCTTGGAGTAGGTGGGTGCAGGTAAAAGAGAGACCATGTGGAGAGAGATGGGGTTAAATATATTTGGCACATGGCACAGCAGCTCAAAATAAAACTAGATACTAGAATTTCACAGGCAAAATACTAAATTACAGACAGCACAGAGACAGACACCATAAGGTGTTTGGAAAGAAAACAGTAGAAGAATTGAATATTTCCTTTGAAAGTTACTGCTTTTCCAGATGCACGAAAATATTCATTACGGAGCAGATTTTCACAGAGACAAGTTGTAAGCAACCTCTGTGCCTGACAATAAGTAATGGCTGTGTGAATGGCAGTATTTTGTTTGGACAATGGCAAGGCCATTTTAAATGGTAATTCTAATGACTGGAAATAACATGGGGACATGTTTATGACATAGTGTTAACTAAAAAAAGAATATAAAGCAGAGCCACCTATGATTAAAACTATCTAAGGTGTTTAAAATATTTGTCTATATACAGATGATAACTAGAAAGGAAAAGAAATAGGGAAAAGGGCTTATTAAGCTGGTGGAATCTTCTAGAGACAAGGATTGCCCTCAGGGTGCTCTTGACCTCCCAAAGTTGTGCACAGAATGGGATGTGTGCCTCTTTCAGTGAGAGGATATCGATTTTGTATCCAATTCTCAAGTGGTTCATGTGACCAAAAAATCATTTTTTCTTATTATTTTCAAATGACCATTTTCATTGTTT